CCGACCTTCTGCGAGCCTTCTGTCGTGCGGAGGGCATCCGCCAGACGCTCACGCTTCCGGCCTCTCCACAGCAAAATGGGATTGCTGAGCGCCGCATTGGCATGGTCATGGATGTTGCTCGTACGTCCATGATCCATGCGGCTGCTCCCCATTTTCTGTGGACGTTCGCGGTTCAGTACGCGGCGCATCAGCTCAACCTCCAGCCCCGGGTCTCCATGCCGGAGACCACACCTACTCTGCGGTGGACGGGAAGGGTTGGCGATGCGTCTGCGTTCCGTGTCTGGGGATCTCGAGCTTTTGTCCGCGACTTGTCTGCGGACAAGCTGTCCTCCCGTGCTGTTCCCTGCGTCTTCCTTGGCTTCCCCCCTAACGTGCCTTGTTGGCAGTTTTACCACCCCACCTCGCGCCGTGTTCTGTCCTCTCAGTACGTCACGTTTGACGAGTCGGTTCCTTACTACCATCTCTTCCCCTACCGCACTGCCCCCCTCCCCCCCCCGCCGCTCTTCCTCGCGCCAGGTCCTCCCCCGGTAGACCCCCTCCCCCCTCAGGGTCCTGCCCCCTCAGGTGTGTCCTAGGTAGACGCAGTCGAGCCTGTCGAGGTAGCTGTTGACTCTGGTGCTGCTAGGGGTGCTGAGCCTGCGGGTGCCGTGTCTGCGGGTGCTGAGCCTGAGCGTGCGGAGCCTGGGGGTGCTGAGTCTGGGGGTGTTGAGCCTGGGGGTGCTGAGTCTGCGGGTGCTGAGCCTAGGGGTGCTGTGTCTGGGGGTGCTGAGCCTGGGGTTGCTGAGTCTAGGGTTGCAGAGCCTGAGGGTGCTGGGCCTGCTCGTGTGGAGTCTGGCGGTGCTGAGCCTGGAGGTCCTTCGGGTGCTTCGTCCCGGCGGGAGCCACTCTCTCCACAGCAGCTGTGCGAGTGGTTTGCTCGGCGCTGGAGCCGTGCTGCTGGAGCTGGTGGTTCTACGGGCGCTGGAGGGCCTGCTACTGCTGGAGGTCCTGCTTCTACTGGAGCTGCTGGGGGTTCTGGAGCCCCAGGTCCCGGAGGTGCTCGTACTGGAGGTACTGGAGCTGCTGGGCCTGGTGGTGCTGCTGGAGCTGGAGCTGCTGGAGGTGCTGGAGCTGGCGGTGCTGCTGGGGTAGGTGCTGCTGGAGGTACTGGAGCTGGAGCTGCTGGCGCTGCTGGGGCTTCTGGTGGTCCTGTTGGAGCTGGAGCTGCTGGAGGTGCTGGAGCTGGCGGTGCTGCTGGAGCCCGTGCTCCTGTGGGTGCTGGAGTTGGCGCTTCTGGTGCTGCTGGAGGTGCTGCTGGAGCTGGTGGTACTGCTGGAGTTGGAGCTGCCACTGGGGGTGCTGGTTCTGTCCTTGCTGGTTCTGGAGGCGCTGCGTGGCCATGGCCGTACTACGTTCCGCTTCTTCAGCAGGTTCTTGGTCTTCCGCCTTCTACTAGTCCTGCTCCTTGCTTAGAATGTCCACCGCCTGTCCAGTCGCAGTCCCAGTTACAGCCTGCCTCCCCACTGCCTGCTCCTTCTCCTTACACTGGTCCGACCGGAGGTCTTGCTGAGCGTCGTGAGCCTGCGTCTCGTCCTGCGTCGCCTGTTCGTGCTGCTAGCACTAGTCGTCGTGGTTTGCGTCAGCGTCCTCCTCCTGTCCCTGGCACGCACCGGATGGCTCTGCGCCATTCCACTGCTCCACAGCGTGTCCCTCTGCCGTCTGCGTCCTCTCTTCCTGCCATTTCTGACCCGGAGTCTGACTCCCTTCGTGCTGCTAGTCCTACTGCCACGCGTCTAATGGCCACTGTTGTCACTGATCCTTCCTTTGAGTCCACTGTTGCGTCTGCCTTAATTGCTGAGTTTGTCGACTTTGCTGCTCACTGTCGTCTCGACTACGCCGCTAGTCTTGTTGCTGAGTCTGAGTCTGTCTGTCCTCCGTCCATCGGGGGTGAGTGTGCTCTTGGCACGGACGTCCTTGAGGACAGGCAGGAGGACTTTGAGTGCTTTGCAGCTGCTGTACCTCATCTCGTGTCCATGCTGATTGCACCTGAGTGAGACCCGGATGCACCAGACATCCTGACCCCGCGCTCTTACGCAGAGGCGATAGAGGGTCCCTACTCCTCTCAGTGGCAGTCAGCCATGGACGCAGAGATGGCATCCTGGAAGTCCACAGGCACCTACGTCGACGAGGTTCCCCCACCTGGGGCGAACATCGTCAGTGGCATGTGGATTTTCAGGGTGAAGCGGCCGCCCGGTTCTCCGCCTGTCTTCAAGGCGCGGTACGTTGCTCGAGGCTTCAGTCAGCGATAGGTAGTTGACTTCTTCCAGACCTTCTCCCCGACCCCGAAGATGACTACTCTTCGGGTTCTGCTGCACGTCCCTGCTCAGCGTGAATACGAGCTTCACTCTCTTGACTTCAGCACAGCCTTCCTGCAGGGCAGCCTGCACGAGGAGATCTGGCTTCGCCGCCCACCTGGCTTCACTGGGTCGTTTCCTCCTGGCACCCAGTGGAGCCTCCGTTGGCTAGTCTACGGTCTCCGCCAGGCGCCCCGTGAGTGGCACGACACACTGAGGACTACGCTTGCGGCTCTTAGGTTTGCTCCTTCCACTGCTGACCCGTCGCTGTTTCTCCACACCGACACTACTCTGCCGCCGTTCTACATCCTCGTGTACGTCGACGACTTGGTCTTTGCTACTGCTGACACTGCAGGACTGGCCCACGTGAACTCGGAGCTGCAAAAGAGACACACGTGCACAGACCTGGGTGACCTGCGCAACTATCTTGGCTTGCAGATCACCCGGGATAGAGCACGGCGCACCATTACCTTGACTCAGTCACACATGGTGCAGCATGTCCTTCAGCGCTTCAACTTCACGTACTCCTCGCCTCAGGCCACTCCTCTGTCTACTCGCCACTCGCTCTCAGCTCTGCCTTCGGATGAGTCCGAGTGGCCCGTACCCAGAGCTTGTTGGCTGCCTCATGTACCTGATGACCTGCACTCGACCTGACCTGGCATACCCTCTTAGCATCTTGGCACGCTATGTTGCTCCTGGGAGACACCGACAAGAGCACATGGCTGCAGCGAAGAGGGTGTTGCGCTACTTGTGCAGTACGTAGGGCATGGGGCTCGTGCTTGGAGGACGGGCTCGAGTTGTCCTCACTGGTCACGCAAACGCTTCTTGGGTTGACGACTTGGCTACGCAGTGGTCGTCACAGGGTTACACCTTCAGCCTTGGTTCCGGCTCTGTTTCGTGGCGGTCTACCCGCTTGTCCTCTGTTCTCAGCTCCAGTTGTGAGGCTGAGATCTACGCTGAGGCCATGGCTGCACAGGAGTTACGCTGGCTCACCTACCTGCTGACCGACTTGGGAGAGGCGCCTCGTTCTCCTCCAGTTCTGTACGTGGACAACAAGGCCATGCTGGCCTTGTGTCGGGAGCACAGACTGGAGCACAGAACGAAGCACATTGCTCTGTGCTACTTCCTTGCTCGAGAGCTGCAGCAGCGTGGTCAGCTTCGTCTTGCTTACGTGGCTTCTCGGGCCAACACTGCTGATATCTTCACCAAGGCACCTCAGCCTTGTGATTATCAGCGTTTCTGTACTATGCTAGGACTTGTGCCTACCGGGCCTCACTTGCTTACCTCTTGACTTTGCTTGTACTGTGATCTATTTATACCTGCGCGTGCATGCTTACCTTTGTTAGGCTGCGATCACTGTCTTGCTTGTTCACTTTGATTTATAGTCCTGCATGTGAACTGGCCTTGTGGCCTTGAACTTGTGCTCAGGATGTTTGGTGACGTTGTGATCCACCCTGAGCTTGACCTTGTCTTGTTCTCTTGCTTGTCCCCCACTTTGCCTATGGGGGTGTGTTAGAACCATATTGTAGGCTGTAGTGGGGTTGACAATATGGGGTACAACTGTTTTAGGTTTTCATATTTGTACCCACCTGCTTCCTAGTTGATTCCATTCCTCGTTATTATTCTCACACCACACAGTGCTCACACTGAACGCGGTGCGTAGACGGATAGTTGAGCTTGTAAATCGGCCCGCTTGCTCCCTCGTTGTTAGCATGCGGCGGTCACGTCCGTTGGATGAAACAATATCAACGGACTTGTGTCGAGTCGCTCCCACCCGTCAATCTCCGCCATAGTCACCGCACGATCTCCGAACGGAGTTGCTGCAGGGCATACCCTGCTGCAAGGACAACTCTAGGCTCGCTCGCAATACTTCAAACGTAAAAGTTGGTGATTCAATTTTTCAAACCCTAAGTGCGCTTCTAGTCGCTCGCTGATCGTGGCGTACCCCTGCCTTTCTATCGTCTTGTGCGTCATCTAGACATATGTGCCTTCAGTATGAGGCCTATAAATATGGTGGATCAAGAGGGCTCAGTGACTTATCTACCAATGTTTCCAGTGACGCTAGGCATCAATGGAAACCCTCTCTGCTATCACGAGAAAGGCTTCGCCGCGTCCGTCTCGTCCTCCCTCTACTGGTGGAAGATTCAGGTTCGCAGCAGTTGTTGAAGCAGCCGTTGCCGCACGAACCTCAACGGTGCAGAACAATAGCGCCAACGGAGGAACGAACCCTACATCTGGCGGATCAAATAGCCCTACTGGCGGGTCAAATGGGGTTGACGAAGGTATGTGCTACTTGCTCAGGTTTAGCGGTGGGTACATAGCGGGTTTCAATAGCACTAGTTATCCGCGAGCACCTGCGTTTTTTGTCGCATGCATTGCATTAATCCACGTCGTGTGCACTCTGCTGCAGGGCATCGTATTGTCTCCCTCAATCAGCTATCGATGCCATCGAATGGTGGCCTCTCCATCGGTGCAGCATCTACCACGACAGGCAGCGGGAGAAGGTCCGGTGGTGCACGTCGCAACACAACAGCGCCGAACGGTGTACGACAGCCGGCAGCATCTACTGGAAGAAGGCTTCGAGGCAGCTCCGCACCCGCCGGTGGAGTTGTTCAGCACTCGGCGGTAGTCCAGAGTGTCCAGTCGGGTGCGGTCCAGGCTGGGGCAATGGCACAAAACCAGTCTGGCCGCACGGCTGCAGCACGCGCTCGGCAAACGGCCGCATACCAGACTGGCCGGTCAGCACAGCACTCCGACTCTCAGGCGGAGGCAGCGTTTCAGCCTGCTGCTGGTGCGGCGCTTGCGCGTGGTGATGGAGCGGCGATTCCTACTGCTGCTGGAGCGGCGATTCCTACTGCTGCTGGAGCGGCGATTCCTACTGCTGCTAGAGCGGCGATTGCGCCTATTGCTGGTGCGGCGATTCCGAGTGCCGCTGGTGCGGCGAGTACGACTGCTGCTGGCGCGGCGTTTCAGCCTGAAGCTAAGGCGGCGATTCTGACTGCTGCTGGAGCGGCGTTTCCGACTTCCGATGGTGTTGCGTTTCTGCCTTCCGATGGTGCTGCGTTTCTGCCTTCTGATGGTGCTGCGTTTCCGTCTTCCGATGGTGCTGCGTTTCCGCCTTCTGATGGTGTTGCGTTTCCGCCTTCTGCTGGACAAGAGTTTCCGCTCGAGGCTGGAGCCACGCTCGCGTTTGCGGATGGAGGCGCAAACCAGCCTGGTGCTGGAGCAGCGTCTCCGTCTGCTGCTGGAGTCGCGTTCCCTACTGAGGCTGGAGCCCCATTCCAGCCCGCTGCTGGTCAGGAGTTTCCGCCCGCGGCTGGAGGCACATTCGAGTCTGATGCTAATGCATTCGATGCTCTTTTGGACGAGGAGGACGAGTGTGGTGGTTATAACCAGCCAGTGGACCTCGAGGCGCAGCCAGAGAAAGAACCCGTCATCCCCGAACCTGGGTATATGCACGAGTTGATGGAAAATCGTGCGACAGAGTCTGCATCGCCAACTGTAGACCGTGCGATGTTTGAGGCTCAGGCCGCGCGGACCCGCCAGTTGGAGCGCGAGCTTATGCAAGCGAGGAATGAGATGAGAGCCATGCAGCGACAACATGCACCCTCACATCAAGGCACTGGTCAACGCGATGGGCAGCGATTCGACTGGGAGCTCAACACCGATGCGGATGCAGGTGGTTGGAACGACGCAGAAAACAGTGCGGAAGCAAACGGAGGGCTGTCAGGTGGGGCCGGTGCGGCTAACGGAGGGCCGTCAGGTGGTGATGGTGTGGCTAACGGAGGGCCGTCAGGTGGTGCTGGTGCGGCTAACTTTGGGCGGTCCGTTGGTGCTGGTGCGGCTAACGGAGTGCGATTTGGGACGACTGGTGCGGCTAACGGAGGGCCGTCAGTTGGTGCTGGTGTGGCTAATGGAGGGCCGTCAGTTGGTGCTGGTGTGGCTAACGGAGGGCCATCAGTTGGTGCTGGTGCGGCTAACTTCGGGCCGTCCGTTGGTGCTGGTGCGGCTAACGGATGGCGTCTTGGGGCGGCTGGTGTGGCTAACGGAGGGCCGTCAGGTGGTGCTGGTGCGGCTAACGGAGGGCGTTTTGGGGCGGCTGGTGCGGCTAACGGCGGGCGTCGTGGGGCGGCTGTGGGAAACTCAGACAACTACGAGCGTCCCATGGTCTTGGTCGAGCCAAATCGCCCTGCTATCATCGACGCTGTCAACAATGCGTACTCGAATGGAGCCACGCTCGACTTGCATCAACTAACTCGAATGCAACGGACGTGGGCGCACCGATATGCAATGGCATTGGCCTCTGTTCCGGCGAAGCACAACGGGTTCACGGTAGGCCACGGTTTCCTCATTGTCCCGTACAAAGCCTTCCTCTTCTCATGTGAGGTATCCGTACCAAGCCCTCATACGTCGCCTGCCTTGTTCCTGTTAAGTATCCTCACTAGGCATGGTCTAAACCATGCCACACGACCCTGTGACATGCGGCACATTCACTGACTATGACGGTCACTAACCTTGTGCCCCTCCCCCTACCCTTAGACCAGGCGATCTCTCCTCCCTTGGCAGGCGCGCTCAGTCCACCCATACCCCCAAGGCCCGCCTTACCCTCCTCCCGTGGCTTTGAGGTGCGGCACAATCACCAAAATTGTCCCACTCTGTCTCTGCCCTTGTGCCTTTGCCCCTCCCCTCCCTTTCGTACAGCCTCTCTCTCCTACCTTGGCAGGCGCGCTAGGTCCACCCATACCCCCAAGGCCCGCCTTACCCTCCTCCCGTGGTTGTGAGGTGGGGAGCAATCAGTCACACTGCAGCAGCAAGTCTCTGCCCTTGTGCCTAACCCCCTTCCTCCCAGTAACTTCCTCCTCCACGTATCTTCTCCCTTTGCAGGCGTGCTCGGTCCACCTGTTCCAACCAGACATGCCTTACCCTCCTCCCGGGCCTGTGAGATGCGGTGCACTCAAACCCTCTGACTAAGCCAGTCCTCCCCTTTTGTGCCTAAGCCACTAAACCCATCTCACCATTCTCTTACCCTGAACCACTGTGAGCATGCAGGCCGCTACAAAGAAAGCCGTAGACATACTTGTCTATGAGACTCCGAATGCCCATCTGCAGTTCTGGTGCCCTCGTTCAGCAATTATCAACGCGCTGGCGTCGGCCCTGACGCTTGTGATGGAGAACAAGACTGGTCGACCGGGTCAGTTTCGGAAGAAGTTCCAGGACAAACGCAACACGGTACTCACCACCGGAAGAGTCAACCTGTATGAGTACTTCAACATCAAGGTAGAACGGCCAAACCTCCACCAGGCGGTGGTGGGACGGGTGGAACCTTCAGCCTTCGTCGCCAAATTCGCAGCAGGTAACGTTTCGTACATACTTGGCTGCTTCCCCCTTTCAAATCCTTGTAACTTTGCACCAGCACTCGTATGTCGCACGTCTCTCATATCCAGGCCTCTCTCTTGCACATCTCTTCACTAACGGTGCCCCTGTTCCCTTGTGTTCCCGTCCATCCACCAGATTTCACATGCACGTACTAAACCCTTTTCCCATATACCCCAAACTTTCGCTGCCTACCCCACTGCCCCCCGTCGTTCATGCCATGCATGCCCATGCCCCCAGGTGAGGTACATCATTCCGGTCAAGATGCCGAGGAACGCAGAGCCAAAGAGTTCGTCATGTGCTCCGTTGACTCAGATTTGCATGGTGCCAATCTTCAGTGCGCCTTCGGCACCGACCGACTGCCCCCACCCTCTTCACCCGCCAATGCCCACTCTATCCTCCTGCCCTCTGCTGCCCGCCAATGCCCACTCTGTCCTCCTGCCCTCTACTGCCCGCCAATGCCCACTCTGTCCTCTTGACCTCTGCTGCCCGCCAATGCCCACTCTGTCCTCCTGTCCTCTGCTGCGCCCCTCTATACCCCTCCATCCCCCGCATGCCTCCACATGTCCAGCATGGGCCTCTCGAACATCGGGAATGCAAAGGCTCTCTGCATAGGGCAGCACCCGTCCCCCACACATGCCTACCAAAATCCGATGCATTTCACCATGCCTACCTGAGTTGTGGTTCATTTGTAAGCCCCTTGCGTTTCTATCCTAAACCCCAACTGCCAGATGATGACTCGTGGGACCTGCTGACCTGGACTAAGAATGACAAGGGGGTCCTTCTGGCGAACGACATTTTCACCAGCGCAATCTATCTGTCATATGAGAGAGAGGGCTATCCGAAGCTGGTGCTGCGACTGAAACACATTGCGTTTTGGCTCCTCGGGGTAGGTGAACAATCAGTGCATGTCAATTGGTGCAAAACCTTGGGTGCTCATGTTAATGTTCTGCTTTTCATAACTGCAGGTGGAACACAAGATCAAGACTGGTTTGCCTCTCTCTCACAGCAGTGTGGACCTCAAAGGACTGTATGCACGCTACAGCTCCAATGTCCGCAATGTCGTTCGTGATGCCATCCAGAGCCCCACGAGCAATTCCACGGGGCCGTGGTGTGTCAGAATGAAATTGTATACATCACTTTATAACTGCCTGCAATGTAGACTTAGTGTAGTTATCTTTCTTGTTAGGTGGTGCACCTTTCTTCTCTTCTTTCATATTTGTACCCTTGAGCCTATAGTAAAACCCTCTCCTTTCCTCTTTGCCTAAACTCTCTCGACTCCCTTTGGCCTAGGCTACTAAGCCTAGGCCCTACTCTTACTATCTCAACATGCTATCAGAGCATTTATACTCCTGGCCTGTGGGCCCATGCTTCCGCTGCCTGTCATCCTGCCGCGCGCCTCGGGCGCGCGGCGTATTTTTCTCGCCGTGCGCCCGGGGCGCACGGCGATTTTCTGCCCGCCGTGTGCTCGGGGAGCACGGCGGTTTTCTGCCCGCCGTGCGCCCCGGGCGCGCGGCGTCTTCCTGTCCGCGCGCGGGCCTGTTCTGCCCGCCCGTACCCTGCCCTTCGCGGCGCCCTGCAGAGGCGCCGCTCCTGCTCGTCGCGACGCCCCTGCGGGACCCGCGGGGCGCTATCCCTGCTCGTCGCGGCGCACCCCCCCCTGGCCGCCGCCTCTGCCTCCCCTGCGCCCGCGCCTGCTTTGCAGCAACGCGCGGGCCTGCCCTGCACCAGCGACGCCGCCCCTGGACACTGGAGCAGCCGCCACTGCAGGAGCCGCCCCTGGCCCCTGGAGCAGCCGCCCCTGGAGCAGCCGCCCCTGGAGCAGCCGCCCCTGCAGCAGCCGCCCCTGGCCCCTGGAGCAGCCGCCACTGCAGCAGCCGCCCCTGGCCCCTAGAGCAGCCGCACCAGCAGCCGCCCCTGGCCACTGGAGCAGCCGCCACTGCAGGAGCCGCCCCTGGCCCCTGGAGCAGCCGCCCCTGGAGCAGCCGCCCCTGGAGCAGCCGCCCCTGGCCCCTGGAGCAGCCGCCCCTGCAGCAGCCGCCCCTGGCCCCTGGAGCAGCCGCCCCTGCAGCAGCCGCCCCTGGCTCCTGGAGCAGCCGCCCCTGCAGCAGCCGCCCCTGGCCCCTGGAGCAGCCGCCCCTGCAGCAGCCGACCCTGCAGCTGCCCGCGACGCCGCTCCTGGACCCTGTGCAGCCGTGGGGGGAGGGTATGGGGGTGGCGGGTGTGGGGGTGATGAGTGTGGGTGCTACCCTTCCCCTCCTCCTCCTCCTACTTCGTCTCCCACTGCTGCAGCTGCCGCTGAAGGGGGGTGGATGTGTGGGAGCCGAGGGGGAGTGAAACTAGGGGTGCGGCAAGGGGTGCGGCAAGGGTTGTGAAAGGGGTGTGGGACAGGTAGGGGAGGTTGAGTGGAGGTGGCCGCCGTGAAGTCAGCAGCTCCAGTCGCCCGTGAGACCGTTGCGCCAGTCGCCCGTGAGCCCGTCGCTCCAGTCGCCCGTGAGCCCGTTGCTCCAGTCGCCCGTGAGTCAGTTACTCCTGCCGCTCGTCTAGCCGCGGAGTCAGTTACTCCAGTTGCCCGTGTGCCAGTTGCTCCAGTTGCCAGTGTGCCAGTTGCTCCAGTTGCCCGTGTGCCAGTTGCTCCAGTTGCGCCGTGTGCCAGCAGCTTCAGCTGCCGCCCACCACCTCCTCTCCTCTCATAGTCCCTCCTCCTCCTCACTTGCCCTCTCCGTCTGCTGCGCTCTGCTTGGTGTACCCCTTCCGGGGGTGTTTCTGCACATGGTTCTTCACTGCAGGCAGTTAGGGGGTGTGTCAGAATGTAATTGTATACATCACTTTATAACTGCCTGCAATGTAGACTTAGTGTAGTTATCTTTCTTGTTAGGTGGTGCACCTTTCTTCTCTTCTTTCATATTTGTACCCTTGAGCCTATAGTAAAACCCTCTCCTTTCCTCTTTGCCTAAACTCTCTCGACTCCCTTTGGCCTAGGCTACTAAGCCTAGGCCCTACTCTTACTATCTCAACATGGTGGCAGGCCGATTTCAAAGCGTGGAAGTTTCACGAGAGCACAGATCACCTTTTTATTAGCTGTGATGGGATTGAGGATTTGAACCCTTAAAAGTGCTACTTTGAGAGTTGGCTAGGCAATAAATAGCTGTGTGCTTGATATGTCGCTCACAGCGCATAAATTTTAGTAACGTAGTATTATTGATAGTAGGATCAGTCTGTAGTGACGTTTCTAAGTATTCAATTGTGAGGAAACAACGGCATAAATAAAATCCAATTAAAAGCGCAATATTAAAACCGTATAAACTTATATTAAACGTACCGTATATTCTTTTAGCAAATCACAAAAAAAAATGTACCAGCACTAGACCAATACAAGGCACCGAGTCAATATTAACGAGACGGAGCGAACCAGTAACATTCTGACAAAGTGTCCCTGATATGTCGCACGTCATCACAATTTGAGCAATGGCACCATCACACTGGGACTGACATACTGTCGCGTGTCTAATCCAGAATGCGCCACGTAACAGGCTCTCCAGTGGTGTGTGGACGCGTTGCCCTTTTCTGAAGCTGATGAAAAAACGAGAGACAGCCGCGTGTCAGACTAAACTGTCTGACACAGATGGTCCAGAGCGAATCAGCCATCTCCACAACACCAGCAGACTGACCATTAGTTTACCGACAAATTGCAGTCCTGTTTTGGGAGGGAAGCATCGTAGCTGTGCCGCGTGTCCATTTTGCCTCTGACAGAAAATCCTTCGCACCCAACCAAGACACTGTAACTGGAAAGTCGCTGAAGCACTTGCGATCTCGTTTGAACATACCCAAGCAATCATCAACGAGCATGGAAGTATGCGACTCTACATCAAAAAGGCCTCGGCAAATCAAATAGCACCAAAACATTCTCGCCCACCAGTTAACATCCAGTGCTGCAATCGCCCGCGGAACGCCTGTACCTACGGGCGAGAAACTTCAACGCAGTTTTACGTTCGGGAACCCACACAGCATTAAAACATACACTACGTAGGTTCATTGGCAACCGAAAAATATGCATTTAAAAAGCTTGCTTTCTTTCATGTAGCAATGGCATTGTCTCATTTCAAGTGGGTTTAGTACAATTGAAATCCAAGCAATTCTAGCAGACTAATAAATATCAGAAAGGCAAGCAAAAAGTTTAGAACAAGAAAGAGGGGCGTTCACTCGTAAGCAGGGCAGTACATATAGCAAACCCTAATTTGGGTTGTACTCACTATAGAGTACCCCACTGCAGACTAGACAATGATAACATTCTGACACACCCCCATAGTCAAAGTGGGGTATAATCAGCACAGCAAGCAGGCATAGAGCAGGTTCACAAGCACAAGTAAAGCTAGAGGCAGTCGCAGAGGGCAAGTGAGGAGGAGGAGTGACAGTGAGAGGAGAGGAGATGGGAGGTGACAGTGGAAGCTGCAGACACACAGGAGCGGCTGGCTCAGTGGCTACCGAAGCAATGGCCCGGACTACAGGAGTAACTGGCTCCGCGGAGATTGTAGCCTCCTGACCGGAGCAACTGACCCACAGGCGACTGGCGACTACCGGAGATTGTAGCCTCCGGACTACTGGCGCTGCTGGCGACACGACTGCTGCCTCCGCTCAACTTCCCCCAATTGTCCCACACCCTTTTCACACACCCCTTGCTGTACCCCTAGCTCCACTCCCACGTCACCCCACTTAAACCCTAAACCCTCGGCTCCCACACACCCACCCCCCTCAGCGGCAGCTGCAGCAGTGGGAGACGGAGGAGGAGGAGGAGCTGCAGGTTACCCACACCGGTCACCCCCATGCCCGCCACCCCCAAACCCTAATGCAGGCAGGAGCGCGGGAAGCAGCAGGGGCGGTTCACGGAGGGAAAGGGAGGCGGCTGGGGGGTCTCCTGGGCGCCACGAAGGAGCAGGGCGCGGGCCCCCCGAGGGCGCCACGGCGGGTGACGGGAGGGGGGCCGCGCACGGGCCCCCGAGGGCGGCTCGACGGGCGACGGGAGGGGCCGCGCGCGGGCCCCCAAGGCGCCGCGACGAGGCGACGGGAGGGGGCGGCGCGCGGGCCCCCAAGGCGCCGCGACGAGGCGACAGGAGGGGGCGACGCGCGGGCCCCCAAGGTGCCGCGACGAGGCGACGGGAGGGGGGGACGCGCGGGCCCCCAAGGTGCCGCGACGAGGCGACGGGAGGGGCCGGCGCGCGGGCCCCCAGGGCGCCGCGACGAGGCGACGGGAGGAGGGCAGCGCGCAGGTCCCCGGGGGCGACACGACGGGCAGAAAACCGCCGCGCGAAGCAGGAAACCGCCGCGCGCCTCGGGGCGCACAGCGGGCAGAAAACCGCCGCACGCCCCGAGCGCACGGCGGGATGAAAAACGCCGCACGCTCCGAGTGCGCTGCAGGAAGAAAGGGTCGCGCGCTCGGGGCGCGCGACAGCAGTAGAGCAGCGGAAGCATCGGGTGGGGC